GATTGGCGAGCTCCCGGCTGCTTTGGGGAGCGCAGCGCTTGGGAGACTGGGGGCTGACAATCTGCCTGCGCCCTGCAGCAGTGTCAAGCACACCCCAAGACGCAGAGCTCAGGAGGCGCGTCCTGGGCCGCATGGGTCATTATATAGGAGTCGACGTGCCCAAGCAATGTTTTTAAAACACTCCAATCTCAGAGCTGCAGGCTTCTGACCCGATGACACATTTATAGGGAGTTCAAACGCTGAGCGTTTTCATTCCAAAGTCTAATGCTAAACTGAGCTAACCTGGCGGCAATTCTGCACACACAGGTGGTGGTCTCCTGCTCACTCAAAGGGGTTGTGTAGCAGATTTGATTCATGGGCGTATTGTCTTTTAACATAATTAGAATGTACAGGGATTCCTGTACATATGCTTGTAACCTTTGGGGCATCTCAGGAGAAACTGTGTGAACCCCATCAGCCAGGTGACACCCCGCCCCCCCAATCTCTCATCGCCACCCCACCAACTTTCTCAGTAAGTAGGCATCAGCCAGTCACAACAGCAAGATGCACCCACGGAGCCCCAGCGAGGTACTGGAGGATGGGGACATCTTCCGGACACACAGGGTCTTACAGACAGGGCCACTCCAGGCAGGGGGTCAGCAGTTGTTCAGTAATTCCTGTGGGCGTTGGAAGCGGCTTCGGATGGGGCAGGTAGGGCCCGATCTACCAGGCAAAGGAGGTGGAAGTTGTATCCTATCAGAGCTGGGGGAGCTATTCAGTGTTCTAAGCCCTTCCCGGCTGCTCTCTCGCTGTCCCTCAGAAGCTGCTTGATGAGCAAGTAGGAAGTTTCCACCTGTAGTGCTGCTCTACAGAGAGCAGGGAGTTCTCAGCTGCAGAGAGGGAAGGGTGATCAAAAACTGCAGCGCAGGCGGAGATGACCCACAGAGAGAGCTCTCCGGGTCCAGAAATTCCCTTGGCCGCTGATCCGTAGGAGCAAAACATGTTTGCAGACGCAGCCCGGAAAGGCAGCCGGAGGAGCGCTGGTGGCGCAGAGGTTACGTGCTCATCCACGAACTGAAAGGCTGGTGGTTCTCACCCACCCGCTGGCCACCAGGTCTGTTGCTGTCAAATCGACAGCCTTGGAAAGAAGCCGGAGGCAGTTCCGCTCTGCCCCGTATGGTCTCGCTGAGTAACCCAACCGAAACAAGCTGGGGCTTTTCAAGAGAGCCCCGATAATTTCTAGTAGCCGGAGATGCTGGGTGGTGTAGTGGGGGCTGGGGATGTTTTCAAATCGGAAGATTCTGTGATGCTGGGCAGTCCAAGGACTGGCATCCCAAATGTGGCCTGTCCTTCAAGGTCCTGCCCTAACGGGGTCTTTCCCACGAGGAACTCAGCCCACTCCAGCAGGAAGAGATTTTTCTCTTGCCCCGAAGACCCCTAAGACCTTGTCCTTTAATGAAAGCAGTTGTTAGGGGGGGAAACGGGGGTGCATGTTCTCATTCTGGGGGCCGGCCAGAGGCTGACAGGAGGACAAACGAGCAGGCAGCTCCCTAGACAAGCAAGCCAGCGAATCGTCCCAGGGAAAAACACACAGCCTGGCTGGAAAGGAGGGCTCAATTACGGGGTGATTAGATTCCATTTAAGGAGATGGACGGCCCACACTCCCTGAGGAGAAGCCTGCCCACAGGCGGGCTTACATGCAGTGACCCCGCGGGAGTGCAGGCCCTCCTGGTTTCCTGGTCAGGCCTGAGCAGCTGGGGTGGGGGCAGTGGATTGGAGGCGCTTCCCGGAGAACAACTCTGAAATATGTTTGTTGAACGGTCGACCCCTCAGACCTGGCATTCACATCTGGATATCACTGCCCTCCTGTCTGTCTGTGTCTGTCCACAGCAGGATGGCACTAGCTCTCATCCCCTCTGTTTAACAGCGCGCTTCCTGCAGCTCCCCGGGGTCCCATGCTTCTCTGTGTCCTTTCCTTTGAGGAAAAGCCAAGACTGAAGGAGAGAAGCCCCCGCTTGCCCTAGCTTGAGGTCAGAACCAGACGCCCACTGGACGGTTCGAGCAGGACCGTTCGGATCAGGATCAGAACGGAAGGCCCTGGGCAGGGCGGGAGGGAATGGAGGGCAGTGAGACGTCTCCAAAGGCCAGAGGTCCTGGCCCTAGAGACACTGGTGGAACCCCCGAGACTGTCCCTTTGAGACATGTCAAACCCGGAGCAGAACCACCCCCAGAGATCACCTTTCAGCCAAACAGCAGCCTAGTCCACGTGAACAATCACACCACGAGGGAAGTGCTCCCCAGAACAAGCAGCCACGTGAGACACGCAAGGGCAGCATTGGCCCCCCGAGCTCAGCGGGCAGGGGGTGCAGGATCCGACGGAGGATGGAAGGTGTGGGGAGAGGACTGTTAGGTGGCGGCAACCACAGCTCATGGCACGTGACCAGACTCACAAATTGCTGAATGGGAAACCAGTGTACCCTGTAGGCTTACTCAAATCATGCACTTTTTGGCAGAGGGGTGGGGACAGAAATAGGGAGCTAATAATGAGTCCAAGAAAGCAAATTGACCGTGGTGCTGATGGTACATTCTGTGGGAAGCACGGGGGTCCTCGGAGCTCAGGGACGGAGGTAAGTGGTGCTTTCAAGTCAACTGGAGTCTTCTTCTTCCTTTTTCCTTTTCAGATGTAACTTTAATGTGTTACATTAGAATATATCACTAGATTTCTTGATCATTCGCTTGAGTGGTTGATAAGTACATTCGACTAATAGTTCTATCAACTGGCCTTCCTTTCGGGTGTACGCATATTAGCCTATCACCGGCAGCATGTGACTTCAAGCAAAACTTTGAAGTGTTCCTTTAAAAAAAATCATTTTATCGGGGGCTCTGACAGCTCTTATCGCAATCCATCCATCCACCCATCCATCCGTGGTTGCTGTCACTATTCTCATAGCATGTTCCTTCTACTTGAGCCCTTGGTATCAGCTCATCTCCCCGCCCCATGAACCATAAATTATTATTTTCTCCCTGCCCCCCCATGAGCCCTTCATAATTTATAAATTATTTTCTTCTTCATGGGGTCTTCCTTTTCTTGTAAAGTCCTTCAGCTCAAATAAAATAAAATAAACAAAGACAACCCCCCCCCCCCCAAGTGGCACCGGTTTCCAGCCACCGGCTTCTCCGTCATGTCCAGCAGGTGGCAGAAAAGCCCCAAGGATGGGCCCCTTATCTCCAGTCGCTGTGCTGGGCTGGCAGCACCCAGCAGCACCCAGCAGCACCCAGCAGCAGCTAAAACTCATCGCACCTCCAGCCCCTGGCAGACCCTCTCCTACACTGAAGGCGAACAGTCAGGTGTCCGGCCATAATAGGGTTAACCGTCCACATTCCACAGCTGGGATAAGGGAGGCCCGAGGGTCACAGACTGGGGGAGGGGATACGGGGCGGGAAGGCCTGCGTGGCACCCTGGGACAGATCGATCAGCCCAACAATGGCCACAGCTGTTTTCCTCTGCCCCGAAGGAAGCCCCGCTTCGGAAGCGGGTATCAGAAAGGGCCCTTCCTGCAGGGGCTTCTGTCTGGCCTGTAAATCTGTCAGAGCAGCTGCCTTCATGTGCCCCGTGATGAATGGGGAAAGGAGGAGGGACAGACGGCCACAGGTGGACACAGCGACATGCAAGTTGAGGCAGGTGGCAAGGGCCTCTGGAGGTGGTGCAGGTGGGGCGTCCTGATTCATGGCCCAGTTAACATACCAAGTGGGTCCGGCCTATAGCCCCCTTCCCAGCCTCCCTGTAGGGCCAGGAGGGGTGCGCTGATCAAACGATCCATCTCCCTGAAAGCTTCCGCCAGCCCGGCTTTCCTGGCACCTCAGGTGTGAACCTTTCTGCCACAGAGCCCCCCACCCCCTACAGCCCCTCCCCTCCATCAGCTCCAGGGCGGAGGTCTCTCCTTGTGGTTTCTTTGTGCCCAGTGGGACCTGGGATAGCTCCAGGTGCTGCATCTCATGGTCTGCAAGGAGGTGGAAAAAAAGAAAAAAAACTCAAGCCATCTGTGAAAAATGTAATGGGATGGAAGACTGGGGGTGGTGGTGGTGGGGTGGGCGGTAAAGCTGGTGCTGAAAGTGCTGGCCTTGGCTTTTGCGAAGAGAGCTTCTGGGCTGGTTCCCTCACCCACAGCCTCGTCAGAGGGCTACCAACTTGGGCACTTCAGTCTCACCGTGAGTGTCCTGCCGGAGACGTGCCTGTCACTGTGTCCTGGGGAGGTTTCCTCGTTGCTTGCAGCCATGTGACCTGCTGGCCTTGGACTTGTCACCAGAGGCCCTGCCCCCTATGGCTGAGCAGGCATTCTCAGCCCCCCTGCCCCCGACCCCCCAATGGCCTTCCAGAAGATTCCAGGAGGCAAGCCTTCTTGGTTAGGAAAATAGAGTCGGAGCTTCAGGGAGTTGGGCTCAGTGGAATGTCTTTGAGAGGATCCTTCTGCCTCTGCCTCTGTGTGTGTGTGTGTGTGTGTGTGTGTGTGTAGGGGGTGGGGGCGAGCACACCCTGAGGACATGAGCAAACGTGGTCTGCGATAGACGACTGCTCAGGCTCAGCCTTGCTAGAGGACCCGGAGTGGCACGTTTCCTTTTTCCCTTCCGTTAAGCCAGTCCAAAGACTGTTGATAGAGGGGCCCAGAAGCCTAGGGAGGTTGGGAACCAGGCGCACGGTTTTGCTATATCTGTAAACCACAGTAGCCAGCCCGAGGGGGACGGGCGGGGGGCTGCCTCACACGCCGCCTCCTCTCTGGGTCACCTGGGAGCCACCAGCAACTTGGACGTTTGCTGCGCTTAAGGCAAAGTCTTTGGGGAGGGCTCATCCTGAGTACACCCTTGGCCCTCCCCCTAGGCTGAAGGAAACGTGGGGCCAGCCCTGCCCCATCCTGTCCCCATTGGCTGGCATGAGGCAGAGAGGGTTTAAAAAGGCCAAGGTGCCTGAGCTGGGAATTGGAGCCTGTGCTACTGGAGAGCCGGGTCCCTCTCCAGGTGGCGCCATGCAGCTCTCTCTAGCCCTGTGTCTCCTCTGCGTGCTGGTGCACGCAGCCTTCCGCGTGGTGGAGGGGCAAGGCTGGCAGCCCTTCAAGAACGATGCCACCGAAGTCATCCCCGAGCTGGGGGGGCACCCCGAGCCCCCGCCGGAGCTGGAGCACAACAAGACCATGAACCGGGCGGAGAACGGAGGGAGGCCTCCCCACCACCCCTTTGAGGCCAAAGGTAGGAGGCCCAGGGGAGCACTTGGAGCGGTCACTGGGAGTTTGGAAGGGGGGGACCCGCAGCCTCTGCCAGCCCCAGTCTTGGATGGCATGCCAGTGCAGCCTTGGGATAGGAGTGCAGGGGCAGGAGGTGGGGGTCAGGGAGTGGGTACTCCTTGGCAGAAGGGAGGCCCAAGTGGGATGAGGGCACGGCATTGGGATGGGCTCAGGGGCGCAATAGAAAAACGGGTTCAAAGACTCAGGAACCAGGTCCAGCTGCAGGCACCACGAGGCAGAGGGGAGGAGCCTCACCCTCCTGGGGCATCTGCTGCATGCCTGGTACCCCACAGCAGGCTGGCCTGCCCTGGAGCCCACAGAGCCACTGGGGGAAGACCCACGATGGGGAGCCCCGGCTTGTAAGTGAAGAAACTGCCCCCAACTTAAGTAACTGGGTGGTGAGCAGAGATGAGATGTGAACCCAGGCTGATCAATTCTGAGTCACTCAGGGGATGTGTGTGTTTGGGGGGGGCTGCGTTGGGGGCTAAGAGCTGGAGTAAATCTCCCCAAAGCAGTGAGAGAGGAGAAGCCAGAGAGGGAGGACCCCATCAGGTCCCTGCCCATCACCTGCTCCGTAACTCCAGCTGGAAGCCCAGGTGGTGAAGACTGTGTGAGCCCCTGCCGTGGGTCAGAGCTGAAACCAGGGTCTAGATGGTGGCAGCAGCCTCTGTGCAAGGGACGGAGCCGGGTGGCATCATTCTGCCCGGAGCCCTCGCCCCAGCCAAATGTGCCTCGTTCCTGGGGAGGGAGCCCAAGAAGGTGGTGGTCTCAGTGGATCCAGAGAAGCTGGGCAGTGCCAGGTGGCTTCTAACTGTCAGAGATGGACAAGATGGCTGGCATGACCCCATTGTCCGGGTGGGAGATGAGCCACTGACTGCCCAGGCTCCTTGACCCCTATGGTCCCCCCTCCCTGCCTGCCCTGGGAATATGGAGCCTGTGGCTTCCCTGGACCCTCAGGAGAGCCACGTGCTCAAAACAGTCACTCTTTTCAGAGGAAATGTCTGACCTGGAGACACTATTCTTGGAAAGCCCCAAATGCCACCTTCACTAAGGAAACAGACCACCCCCACACATCACCCCTGCAGCCCCCTGCCTGCCCCAGACACCAGGCCCCCCCAGGCTCCAGGGAGAGAAAGGCGGCTTACCCCCCTGCTGCAGGCCTGACTCTCCAGGGCCACCTGCCCCTCACCGCTTCCAGACATCTTTGAGACTCCTTTTCATCTGTCACACTGGGACGTTCGTGGGAGTGAAGAGGTGCTCGCGGGGGGTGGGGGTGGGGCCTCCCACCTAGCCAAGCCCACCGTAGGTGACATGATGAAGGTGTGTGCAAGGAGCAAGCCTGAATCATCAGGTGCCCATTCAGGGTCTGGTACCCAGCTCAAGGCAGCTGAACCTACAGGCTTTCTGTCCGAAGTAGCTCATGCTCCGGCACAGCCCAGACTCCATCCTCATGGGAGCCTGGAGGTACTGGAGTTTCTGGGAGACCTGGCTCTGCCACAACCTCGGAGCCCCCCCGGGAAAATTTGTGAACCTCTCTGAACCCCTGTTTCCTTATCTTTAACCTCTCTGAACCTCTGTTTCCTCATCTTTAGTTCCTTCCAGGTGGAAGGAATTCCTATCCTGGCTGAGACCTCTCCTTCTATTTCTTCCCCTTGGTAGTAGCTTCAATGAACCCCAATTCCCTTCTCCACCCCCCTCCCTACTCTTCCCAGCTGATTGGAAAGGAGTTTGGGGGAGTCCAGAGCCCACCAGATGGTGTGGCTGGCACCTACCCTGCCCACAGGAAGAGGTCCCTTTAGGGAGGAAAACATCATCATCATCATCATCATAGGAATACCCAGTAAGACGCACTTCTAGCGCTCACTCTGTCCCGAGGAGCGACTCATTTAACCCTCGGGAAACCCCATTTTACAGCTAGGAAGCGCAAAGAGGTTAGGGAGTTTGTCCTGGATCACACCGGTAAACCGGGAGGGCGTTGGCCTGTGAACCCCACGCAGTGCCTTGGCAGCAGCGTCTCAGCCGTGATCCCTGGGACCACCTGCAGACTCTGCAGAGGACGCGTCCAGGGGGCCTCGGTCGGGAAGGGGTCCGGTGAGGAGGGGGCTCCCTGGCTTGGCAGTTGCCCTTCCCAGCTCACAGGGCGCGCCTCTCTCCGCAGACGTGTCGGAGTACAGCTGCCGGGAGCTGCACGTCACCCGCTACGTGACCGACGGGCCGTGCCGCAGCGCCAAGCCGGTGACCGAGCTGGTGTGCTCCGGCCAGTGCGGCCCGGCGCGCCTGCTGCCCAACGCCATC